ATATGCTAATTTGGATGTAAATTTTAACAAATAAAAAAAAAAAAGAAAGAAATATAAGATCGCCCAAGTCAGACATAAAATGTAAAGAATTAGTCATTTTGATAGGTGTACACAATAATAAAAAAATACAAACCACACAGATGCTTGTGGTTCCACAGAACAATCCCGGATGTTTGAAAGAAGAGACAGGTGCACAGGGCTTGGTGTGAGACTGTGGCAATATTAAAGATGTTGAATTTAATTTTGAAAATATTGTATTTTGGGTGCACATGCAAAAAGTAAAGGCCTTAAGCATTTGTTAGGATGGGATTGCAGACAAAAAGGCAAAGCTTAAATTGTACATTTTAGTCATATGCACAGAAGTGATAGGTTAACTTGTAGGAGACACACATGAGCATAGAGAGGCTGAGCTGAGGTCAAAGAGAAAGGATAACAGTAGAATTGGGGGTGGAAGGTGGACAAAGAGAGCAGGAAAAGAAAAGAATAGTATCCATTGGTGGAGAAGTAGAGAGAACAAGGTTGACAGGAAAGAGCTGTCATCAAGAAGAGATGGTCACCAGGGTCCACATGATATACCACCATCACTAGCAACACTTGACAAGACGCATGACTTTAATACAGTATGTTACAGATGGAAGATGGTTTGCAGAAGGAATGGTTTGGAAGCAGATCAGGACAGAAAGCATGATGATCTTATTCTAGGAATGGGCTTCCAAAGAAGATAAATATAATGGCCAGGATAAGCAGCAGATTGGGAAACCTAGGTGTGTCTGAGAAACAAGAGTCTGAATTTCCTTGGTTATTCTGATAAATACGGGAAGTATATTTTTAGAAAACAGACTTTGAATATTGAAAGTGAGAAAAGAGCTTAACTATTAGTCACTTTAATTCCTTGTATTTTATATATTCCATTCTCATTTTATGTATTACCATAATGAGTCATGCTTATATCAAATATAAGACATGAGGTATTAAATTGGTAACGCTAGTTTCTTCCTTTTCTAAAAAGAATTCTGCACACATCTCCATCTCCCTTTTATCTGATTTCTCAGCTTTCTTAGTGTGCATGGAAAGTGTAAATGTTTGTTTCTATTTTGTTAGTTTCATTGGTTTGCTGCCTACAAAGATAACATATTTGTTGTGAAAATGTCACTCAGTACAGAAAGGCTTAAAGAATAAATTTTTAAAATTTCTTGAAATGATGCTATTCAGAGATAACTAGTATTATTACTTTGATAAATCTCCTTCCAAAACTTTTTCTATGGATAGATGCATAGATGATATTTTATATTAAGGACATCATATTTTTAATGTGGTTTTGCACCTACTTTTTTGCATCTAATAATATGTTGTGGATATTTTTTATGTCAATGAATAAAGGTATATAATATTCTTTTTCAATAGCAGTCATTATATGAAAATGCCATAATTAATTTAAGCCACCACCTGTTGCCAGACATTTAGACTCTTTCTAATTTTTCTGTGTAAGCAGCATTGCAGTGAACATTCCTATGGATACATTTTTGTGCACTTATTCAATTGACTGTCTTCTTTGAATAGATTCCTCCAAATGGGATTGTGGGTCAAAAGGTTATGCATATTTTATATTGTGATACATATTTACATATCGCCTCGGGTCCTTTAGAAGTGTTATACCAATTACTCTTCTACCAATAACACCTACCAGTACCCAGAAAGTTCTTTTAAACGTCTTAAACATTTTTTTTTCATCTTCATTCAGGCTCATTTCCCTCACATACGAAATTAAAAGGATGAAATATATTAGTGGTTCTTAAGCTTTTTAGGATCTTAGGATCATTTCAGAATTTTTGAAAACTGTTGACCAGAAACTGGGACCGTTGTTCCAGAAAAACATACCTGTGCAAAAACACAGAAATTTTTACATACTATTTATGAGAATTCATAGATTATTTGAAATCAATTCACAGACTCTTTGGGATCTCACTCCATGAATCCAAGTGAAAAATCTCTGAAATGAGATGATTTTAAAGTTACTCTCTCTTTTTAACATACATGCATACACACACACACACACACATTTCATATACATCATGCACATATCACACTCATGTGCACACAGAATTTTAATGAGTATTTGGAAAAACTTTGACACCTGCTTGATATAGAACCTAGTCTCATTGTGATCTGTGAAATCACTTGACTGGGTATAGCTATTGGAATGAATTTCTATTTATTTCAGGTTCTTCAATGGCGAGCCCACCAGGAAGAAGTAGCAAGACTGGAAATGGAAATTTCTGCCAGAAGAAGAGAAAAGGAGGAGGAGAGAGAGAAGCTATGGAAGAGGAAGGAATTGTTTCAAAGAGCAGAGAAGAAAAAGAAAGTATGTAATCTGCTATTGTCGTGAATGTGCGAATGAATGTTTAATTGCCTGATTGAGCTTTGAGTGATCTTGGTGTTTGGCATAGAATCATCATAGGTAGTTCTTAGATTCATGAGATTCTAATCTTGCTTCAGTTCATTTAAGCTTCAGAGGTTCATTGGACATGGAGGGGAATCCGCTTTACTGACCTGCATGAGCACAAGAAATTGTGATTAGAAGTAATGCTATAGGTAAAGACAAGACAGGGTTTGTGACTGCTGAGTCTTGTACTAACTAGGGATACGTGGGAGAGCATTTTGTTTGCAGTGCAGCAACTGACGGTCAAAGGTGTCTTTGCTGATAAAATACGTTGTACTAGGGTCAGAGCAACTCATGCAATACAAAAGGCCCTTTAAAGAATTTACTTCTTGTTTTATTATTTGTTATATTGTTTGTTTTTCATTTACTAACATAAATTCATGACTCTACTTTTGAGAAAACATTTGCTTCCCAGTTTTCAAAATACTAATCACAACACTTATTAACAGCTTTAAAACGATTGCCAACAATCTGTGGAAGAAAAAGTGTATTTGAGGCAGGATTTTAAAAATATATTTGGGGTATTTATTTAGATATTTTTGTGTGTTTACACCTCAAAAACTGATAAAAATAATCACATTAGTACTCATCACTTAGCACTGAGTTTACTCAGGATACTCAGGACCTCCCCAAAGTCAGTCTCGATCATAAATTTTATTTCTATCTTTCCAAGCCATGTATTGCTTTTAACATCTTTTAATACATAGTTTGTGACTTTTACATTTTCTTTTCATGAATACTCTCTTACTGTATCATTTTGCAGCATGTACTTCTTTATTTAACTCTACATTTTTGAGATATAGCCATGTTAATAGGCAGAGACTTAGTTCACCCCTTTCTACTGCTACATGATATTTCATTATAGAATGAGGCTACCGTTTATCCCTTCTGTTAGTGGTTGACATTTACATTTCTAAAGTTTTGTTCTTGCACCTGTGCTGAAGCAGTCACTTGTCACATCAACTGGGGCACATGTGCACAGCTTTCTCTACAGTACACTGAGGAGGAGAATTAGGATTTCTATGCTTTCAGTTTTATATGCTTTTTTTCTTTATAAGGTATTATAAATTTTCTTTTTGACTTTTGCCAATGTGATGAATATAAACAGTATCTTGGTGTCTTCAACTGGATTCTCCTGATCACTTGTGAGATTGAAAATTTCCTCATGTTTATTGGGTGATTTTCTTCCTTTGGGAATTGCTTATTAGTACTTTTTATCTACTTGTCTATTTTTCTTTATTAATCTGTAGAAGTTCTTTATAAGCTCTGGATATTATTGCTTTCCGTTTGTTATATAGGTTGCAAATTTATTTTCTTTCATTGGACATCTGCCTTTACATTTGGTCTGTAGTGTCTGTAGTTCATGGAAATTTAAAGTGATCAAGGAATCAAAGTTATTAAACTTTCTTTAAAAGATATTTTATTTTATTTTTTATTTTTTGAGAGAGATAGCAAGAGATAGAAAGAGAGAGAATAGTAAGCAGGCTCCAAACTCAGCATGGAATCTCTTGCATGGCTTGATCCCATGCCCCGGGATCATGACCTGAGCCAAAAACAAGAGTCAGACACTCAACAGACTGAGCCACCCAGATGCCCCTAAACTGTTTCTCTTTGTGAACTGTGTTTTCCTTATGAATCATGACCTGGTAGTGAGAACATCTCTACACAGTTTATGCTTCTGCTCAGGGCCCTACGCATTTTACTGGCTCAGGACCAGTGCATATATTAACTGTGAGATTTGGGACCAATTCTGTGAGGTTGGAGTGGCTGCTGACTTAGCACTCATGCACAGCACCAGCCTGGGTTCTGCTGCTGACCCCTTCCCTGCTCTGGTCCCAAGCAGAAAGTCAGCTCCCTTGTCACTTCTGGGGAGTGGTCCTGGTGTGTCTCAGTCCCATTTGGTGTTTGGACAAGTTCTACAGGACTTCTTGCTCTTTTTTAAGTGGCATGGTTCCAGCTCCTGTATATAAATCCCACACCTAATATTAAACACCCAACCACTAGCTCCTCAGGCCTGTTTCAGGCTCAATTCTGCCCAAGGGCCCCTTGGCTTTGGCTCCGTCTTACTGCTCTGACTTTATGTTCCGTCTTTATCTTCAGCACTGGGGCATTGTGTGTCTTTGTGTTATAGTTTGCCCCAAATTTCTATGTGTTTAAACTGGGAAAGGAGATTTCTTTAAAAAAATTTTTTTTAATGTTTTAATTTATTTTTGAGAGAGATAGAGCACAAGTGGGGCAGTCGCAGAGAGAGGCAGACACAGA